AAAGAAAGTCATAATAAGTTACAGAATTATAGCACAAGAAATGTAGCACGTTTTCTGTCAGAACTACACATCACAATGTTTGCTGACCTCCTGTGGAGAGAATACAATACTGCATTCTTATGAGAGCTTTTTTCGTGTCTTTTATTTGAAATTTGATTTAAAAATTTAAAATGTCAGTTTGTATGTCAACATAAGTCTTGAAAAACTCAGGTATTTAGGAACTACTAGAGATGCAAGTCTAAGTTTTACAATATATAAACAATTAATAAACTCATGAGGATAAAATATAAATAAATGTACATTTATGGATTATGGCTGATGGTTGAGACTACTATACAGGCAGGTAAACATTGTGCTTTGTGTTTAGCTTTTTAAGCAACCTTTTATAGCCTGGAATATAATTATTAAATTGCTAGGATGTGTCACATTTCTTACACTAGCTAAACAAGTCTTGTCAGACTAGGGATATTGGCCTCAAGGATTTTTTAAATTGTGCAAACCCGGTTTCATATGTCCCTTTCTCCTTTATTTTTAAAGGATCTTTGCTTTTTGAAGGATGGAGAAATTGACTGCACTGTTGTTACTAGAAACTTAAGCTTATTTTAACAGATGATTAATTTTAAAATACTCACCTGTAATTTGCCAGGATATATTTACTAATATTTTTTTTGCCTTTGTGTGTCATAAATATGGACAAAGATTTTATATACCTAGGTATACACATCTTTTAATGTATATACAAGGATATTTTTTATTTCTGGCCAGGCTCTTCTGAGGCAGGAGTGGTATAAAACTATCATGGAGAATTTATGCCAGAGGTTATATTCCGCTGGTTTTGAGCTCCTTGAGGATCCGTGAGGAAGAAGGTAGCTCAGTGGAGGTCAAAGCAGGTGATGAATTGAAGTACAATACAATTCATGGAGATTTTTAACTTTCATTAAAAGCCAGTTGTGGTATTTTAACTTCCTCCCTTCCTCTTTGCTCTGCATAGTTAACACCTAACTCTACCTGCATGCAAGGCTTCCCATGGATTTTTTTTTTTTTTTTTCTGATGTCAGTTGGCTTGACAGTCCTTTTAATGCTAAAACCAAAAGGTTTGCACATTGCAGTGGTGTCATGAACTTAATCACAGGATCTCTGTGTAATTTTCTCACCTTGAGAACTACTGGATATATGGAGGTGCTGAATCCAATGTCAAAGGTTAACATTTGAAAACACTGGCTGCAGCTGAAATACAATATAACAAAAATTCAGTGAGGTTAGGCACTGGTGCAAAATAAAGAATCAGAATGATTTAATTTGGAAAAGACCTTTAAGATCATTGAGTCTAACCATAAACCTAACACTGCCAAATACACGACTAAACCATGTCCCTTTATATGCTACAATGACATACAGACACACAGGTCCAGAGAACACATTCAAGAACATACGTACACGGGTCAAGAGACAGCACATGATACAGACTAAATGAAATTTCTAAGGACCAGCAGCATGAAACACAGATGGAGTCTGACTGTGAGCTGATGAAAACAATGCTATATTAAAGAGTATTTATATGGTTGACTTTTAAACCAGTGAGGAAGGTGAATTATGCTGGAGGAAGAAATGCCTTTTTATAAGAATGAGGTCCTGCAAAAGCTTTGAAGACATTTGGAGAGGAACAGACGGTAAAACTCTATGGGCTTACTTAAGCCAAAGAGTTGTGTGGCAGCTACAGGGATGAAGGCATGGGCCTGGAGCTCTAAGCAAGTCTTAGGTTACATAAAGAAGAGAAATCCAACCCATTGGTAAAAGTTCCAGTTCGGGTCACTGTCAAAATAGCTCCATCCCTGTTACACTCCTCCCCTCCTCACTACTCTCTCTGTTCACAATGTAAGCTTTATTCTCAACTTGCATTAAGTCAAATAATGAACATCGTATTACTGCTAGTGCAACACCTGGGTTCTCAAATAGCTTTATGAAACATATAAATGTAATAAATAGTAACTTATTTAGTATTTATCATGAAAATTATCAGGGATGTTACATAACATATAAAGAACAAATATTAACTCTAATGAAAATTATGCACAGTAGAGGTTGATTTATGTTTAAGAGCATTAGCACTCTAATAGAAGTGATTACAATGATTTAACACTCACAGAAAGGTGACTGTAGCTACATAGGTATATTTCATAAGGTACATTTCATCAAGTATTCTACAGTGGTTCTTTTTCAGATTGCCAGCCACAACCAGCTCTGAAACTTAATAATTAACATTAAGTATTTGACATATGACAGAAGGCTCACTGAAGGGAAATACAGCTTTATACACGTTAGGACTAGCTCAATTATCAGTAATTTCTGTTGATTTGTTCTGCATGAAGCATATCATCAGGACACAGCATCTGGTCCTAAGTATTCATCATAACGTTTTAATAAACTAGAAAGACTGTGGGTATTGAAGAGTTTTACTCCCCAAATGTAGCACAGTCCCACTTTATAAGGAAGCGTGAAGTCTAGAAGGCTTTTTATTTTAGGAGTTGTGTATCCTTTAAAATTTTTATCCCATTCTAAGGAGCTATCTTGACAATAGCTTAGCAACAACCACTGCAAGTCACTTACTGATTTAAAGAATTTGGTCCTGAGGCAGATGATTCACTGAAGACCTCAGTTACAAGTAGAAGTTTGCTTATAGATTCTTTCATGTTGTTGAAGGCTTGCTGGGGAGAACTCTTTCTGAAGAATATCTCAAAAAACTTCTGCAGCTGTGAAAGAGATTACATATATTTTTATAAATTCAGCATGAATCAGTGCTTAAGTTCATAAATTAAAATGCTGGTAGAAGTAAAAATTGCTTTAGAATGTCCACTTCAATTCTTATTAATTTGCAGAGTAAACTGTCATGAAAGCTCCAAGCAGTATGCTAGTAGAGAACGACTTTTTGTTTGCAGAGAATTGTATCAGAAAAAAACCTCTGTATTAGTGGGTCTGAAAAATATTGCTCCCAGCAAAAGCTTGCTTTGATTAAAAACTTCTGCTGTCAACTGGTTCTAGGCAATGGAAACCACACAGTTACTTCATTAGCGGTAGGTGATAGCACACTCAAGGTAAGTCTTTTGTTAACATACTATGCCAATGGGTATCCCACTTTACCTTGACTCCAAAATCTTACCTCAGATTCATAAACTTTAAACAGAATATAGCAGAAAGACACTGAAAAAATATCTGCCAGCACAGTCTGAGGTTTTTAGACTCCCGTGCCTTTTCAGATGCATATTCACTGGCCTGCACAACACTGTCCTCAGCTGCTTTCAACACTTAAGTGAATCCACCTGCCTCATCACTTCAGAGATTCAGGGAAACAACTGGAGCGATACAAAGCCCCAATGAAGGCTGAGACACAGGCAGGTTATGTTGCATCAGAGTCCTCTATGACAAGAAAGGGGATGACTTTGAACCATATTTCTGTTAGTTATAACATGGCACAGAAAAAAAATTAATGGCTAAACTATGTAAAGCTAATTGATAATTTATTAATAATTTAGTAATTCAGTAGTAATTCAGCAATACTGCAATACTAAACAGACGTCTTTTATGGAGTAAAAAGTACTACATTTAGAGATAAAGCACACGAAGTATATATAAAACATGTTTAGCATTGATATTCAGAAAATAAAAATTTCTGTTTGTTTCCAGGAATTTCTCTACTAAATTGACTTAGGAATGCTATTATATATTTTCTACTGTCACCCACTTATACATATCCCACTGGGGTAACATGATGGAAAGACTACCTGCCTTTGACTATAGTAATGAACAAGTATCTGCAGCAGATGGGTTAACCAAGGCTGGTCTTTAGCAGAAGTCTGTAGCAAAGTTTAATGTGATATTTTGTCTCTAACGCATGATCACAGAATCACAGAACCACAGAATGGTTGAGGTTGGAATGGACTTCTGGAAGTCACCTTGTTCAACCACTCTGCTCAAGTAGAGTCATCCACAGTTTGTTGCTCAAGACTGCGTCCAGACAGCATTTTGCTACATCCAGGGTAAAGACTCTACAACCTCTGTGGGCAACTTGTGCTAGTGCTCAGTCACAGCCAAAAGTTAAAAAGTGTTTCCTGATGTTCAGAAGCAACCTGCTGTGTTTCAGTTTTGTGCTCTCTTATCCTGTCCCTGGGCATTACCAAAAAGAGCATGGCTTTGTCTTCTTTGCAGCCTCCCTTCAGGTATTCATGCACACTGATGACATCCCTCTGAGCCCCTGAGAATTTTCTCCAGTCTCAGCCATTTCTCAAATAAGAAATTCTCCAATGCCGCAGTCATTTTAGTGACCCTCTGCTGGACTCTTTCCTCATCTCTCTTGTACTTGAGAGTCTAAAATGGACTCAGTACTTCAGATGTGCCACAAGGGTAGAATGCTGGCTGATGGTAACCTTGGTGTCCATCAGGACTCCCTCGGTCCTTTTCCGCAAAGCTGTTTTCTAGCTGGTTGGCCTCTGTCATGTACTGGTGGCTGGGGCTGCTCCTTCCCAGGATTTTGCACTTTCTCTTGTTGAATTTTATGAGGTTCCTGTCAGGCTGTATTTCCACCCTGTTGAGGTCCCTCTGGATAGCAGCATGACCCTCTGGTATATAATTCACTCCTACTAGCTTTTTGTCATTAGAGGGTACACTCATTGAGACACCTAACAGCAGGGATCCCTGGGGTACCATGTTGGTTGCTGGGGATGTGTTATGATTATATTACTCACTGTGCTGACACCAGATCTTAAAACACAATTCTGTGCACTCCAGTCCAGAGAACTTTCTGGACAGTGTTGGAGCCTCCCCTTACGAGCATAAATACTGCCAAGCAAGTAGGGCTGTGTTGGCGTGGACGAATGGCTTTCATTTTCTTCAGGAAACATATTCCAGTTATATGTAATACGCATTTTCCACTTTCCTTTTGAAAAGTATGGTATCCTGGCCTACAGCCAGCCATAGGAAACACTCATGTATGCAGCTAACACTGACTCTTCTTTATTTTTCGCTCTCTTCAGTTCCAGTAAATTCAGTCTGATTTCCTGGTCAATAACTGGTGGGTGGGAGGTTAGTCTGCTCATCTTATCACCTCTGGTTTTATTGTAACAAGTGATTTTCTCCTCAAGATTTACCAACTAAAAGAAATGCCCCCCATGCACAGAGGTTTGCTGTGCCTGTGATTTTTTCTTCTCTTTCTGATATTGTTATTTGAAATGCCAGTAGGAAAAAAAAAAATGAGGATATGACTAAGGTAATAAAAATAAACCTCTGACTGCCAGGAAAGTGCGAAGTAAAGGCTGCACATACAGCCTCAACACTGCCCTTTGGGTGTTTGCATCATGTTGAAATCTTGAATAACAGCACACTGTATTTCTATGCTGTAGAAAATTTTCCATGTGTTCTTCAATTCCATGAGTCTCTAGGGCAAAAGAGCCCTGGAACTGCTGTTTAGGAAGAAAGGATTATGCAAATCATCGTGCTCCACTTCACTGCCACCAGAGAGGTACCCCATGTTTCCCAAAGTCTAAGATCAGTAAAGTTGTGTTTCTCTCACAGAGCAGTATAAAAATTAAGAACAAGCTGCCCATTTTGCAAATCAGTTCTGGTTTTAGATTCATCACTTAGTGAAATTGTTCCATTTCATTTCCTTGCTCAAGCCAAAGTAATTTAATTAAACTGCACATGTGAAATAAAAAAAAATTAAACCATCTCACCAAGGTGACACTACATGGTGGTTCTTCAGGTGAACTTGACAACTATTTCCAGCATCTAGGCCAGATCCTGTACATAACACATATTCCTGCTACACTAGCTTGCATATTTTCTCTAAACCTGCACTGGGTATGGAGTGGTTAGGCAAGAAGCTGTGTTATTTTGCTGTACAGGGAACACAGGGAATTTTAGAAGGAGAGATTTTGGAATCTTGCAGAATTTTACCAGGAGAGCTGGGAATTACTGAAAGGAAGTGCACAATGAACAGATAAAGGCCCATTCACTCATTTGCTCCTCACTGTAAATCAATTCCTAAGCATCTCAGTGCAAAGGATACACAATGCAGGTATTTCTAGGAAGACTTGATGAAAGAGGCTGATTTGCCATATTTGCCCTCAATGCGTGCTGTTGGCTGTAATATCCAACTGTTTCCAACACAACTGGCATGAAATAGAACTGGCTTCTCCAAGGAACTGCATTTTAGTTACAGCTCTCCTTAGCCAGACTAGAAAAGAGACATTGTTCAACAGGTTCTCATTTGGGAATATCAGGTTTGAGGACAATATTTATTCTAAGCCAATGAGTGAAAATAAATATTTACTCTGGCTGGTTGAGGACCAATGGGAATGAGAGACAATTACTTCATTTAAATTCCAATAAATGAAAAGAAAATCCTATTTAAACAAGTTCAGGTTAGGTTTGACTCCTACAAATCTACAGGATTCTCAGCAACTGATACGGAAAGGGTAAACTGTATGGATTAAGGGTGATGAAGTGTGAAAACCTGCAACAACCTCAGGTTCTTCTAAGTGTGCCCAACAGAGGTATAAATATCTGTGTTCAACTGCACAATATTACTGAGCTGAAGGTTTCTTCAAGTTATCACCACTGATGTTGGTTCTCTCACTTTCAGAGGAAACAGACTACCTGTCCAGCAAAATTCAGTCTCATTATTGATGGAGCGTAATTAAAAGCAGCATTGAATAGTAAAAAAAAGGACAAAAATGGGAAAAAATGGAGGCAAACACAGGAATTTAGTCAGGGAGAAAGCTGACCTCTGGCTGGCAAAGTTTTAAGCAGAGGAATATCGATTAAATTTTAGTAGGCTGTTAAGTTTAACACAGACATGCACATATATTTTGTACAATGACACCATTGTATGCAGAAATGCAAGATTTTTCAGGAGCATGATGACATTCATCCACATGCTGGATGCATACAATTAGAGGTATGTTCCACATATTTATGCAATGCCTGACAGAAGTGTGTAAAAGCAGTCAAATTCCATGGAATAAGTACACATTTTCTGTAAAGGCAGAATGAACTAGAAATATTCTTAATATTAATTTAAATTCATTGACCTTCCTCTCACTGATAACCACTTTTGCTTTAGGATAAGTCACCAGAAAAAAAAAAAAAAAAAAAAAAAGAAAAGAAAAAAAGTTTTGGCTAAATCAATATTAATTTTACAATGTTTTTCTCTACCCTCTTTGACATTCACTTTTGAAAATCTGCAGTCCTAACTACAAGGTTTATGATCTCAGTAGCACAGATCCCTTTGGCTCTGCAAAAATACACTGAACCATCAGAGCCATGACACACTGAAAAAATGCAATTTAATTGACAAAGGAATTCTGATTTGCAAGCTTCATGCACAGTCATGGGGACTCGAGGAGGGCTGGATATTATGGTGACTACAGTAATTCCCTTGAGAGGATTTTCCGCTGGCAATTCTTCTGCAAATGAATTTCTTAGGAGAGATGCTGGGGCAGCCTGGGGCAGGTAACTGAATGGTCTGCTGAAGATTGCCCTGAGAGACTAGAAAAACAACCTGTACCCATCTTTCTTAGATAGCCTTTTAGCTCAGTCCTAGCATAGTCTTGCCTCCTGATGAGACAAATAAGAAAGATTTTCCTTAACTAACATTAGGAATGGCAATAAATGCAAACTTAAAACACCTGACTTCATTGATTGGCTTTCTGTTTATTGTAACAGGCATTCAAAGGCAGAACTCACATGAAGATAATGC